TAGCTTATATTTATGTAGTACAAGAGATGCGAAAAAAATTAAAGCATCATATTTTGAATGAGTCTCAAGATTTTAAATTATTTCCTTAAAATTATATACTTTGCTTAGAAAACTTTAGAAGATGCTTTTGAAGGACTACTATAAAGTGTTGGACATCAAATAAATATTAAAAATAAATAAAATTCATGATATCAGATTGCAAAAATTAGGGATATGTGTGTAATACTGTGTCATATGAGATAATACTCATACATAACATGATATTATAATATGTAATCTAACATATTAATAAATTTTAAGCATAAGAATTTGCGTCAAGATATGTACGTAAGATTTGCGAGAGCCTAGAGTGGAGAGATTTGGGAGAAGAATTGTGGTCTTTGTGGGTTTTGTGAGTTCCGGTTTTGTTTCCCAAACACAATTCAAACCCCAGCTCACGATCAAATTAAAAATGACATGATTTTTTGATATCTTCGAAGGGTTATATCAGCCATATTTTCGATAAAGTCGATATATCAAAAAAATTAAACAAATAAAAAAATAAAATATTATTGAGATAAAGTCTTTAACCTGATATATTGGCCGATATAACAATATATTGATTAATATTTAATAGAATGCCTATAAGAGAAAATATGTAAATATTATTTAGATATTAGTTCCTTGATTTTAAATATCCAATGATAATACGGGTGTATCTTCTCTTCGGAATTTAGCGATCCTCATGAGAGCTTGATGATAGATGATTCTCATGGTAACTTGAGAATAGAGGTGTAAAACAACACAGTGGAATGCAGGTTGAAGCGTGGAACGAGACGGCGAATCAAAGAATCAAAACATCTAGTTTTTAGCCCATGAGTCGACTCATACATGTACATGAGTCGACTCATCAGGTTGAGTCGACTCATAACTATCATGAGTCGACTCATGAACCCCAACCGTTTTGTTAAAAATTTCTGACCAGTCGACTCATGCCTGTCATGAGTTGACCCATGTGTCATGAGTCAACTCATATATGCATATGAGTCGACTCATCGATGGTTTCCTGGTTCGTTTGGATTTCTGTTTGCACAAATTCCTGTGGGGTTTGGGCTTGGTTATTTACCACTTTGCCATCCACGTTGTTACACCTATATAAGGGATTGTTTAGGGTTTTTAATCAATCAGATGTAATCAAAGAGAGATTCTAATCAAGAGAGATTAGAGTTTAGAGAGAATTAAGAGTTTGTTCTCGATTCTAGTGAGATTGTGAGAGAGGGATTGTAATCTTTTCATACTCATAATCTAGAAAGGGTATTTTCCTTCGTCATATACTGAATTATTCTTGTATTTCTGTCATCCTCTTTCAACCTACCTTTGATAATTCCGTGATCAAAGGTGCTCGCACGACGACTCGTAGCAAATGGTTATCACAAATTTTTGAAATTGCTCATAATTTTAGGGACTAATATTAAATTTTTAAAATTTTGAGGAACAAATTATAAATAAACCATATTTAAAAGAAATATTAATTTTTTAAAAACCCTCTCAACTATGGGGATTATCTTAAAAAACTCACTCAACTGATTCAATTTGACAAAACCCCTTCACTATGTGGGGTGCTATAGATAACCCCTCTCAATTTTGATGCAACTTTAGAAAACACATCTCAACTATAGCGTATCTCAAAAAAAACTCCCCTAATCCTTTACAACTCTATCAACAAATCCGCTTAACATAGTAACTTTGATATGTGATTTGGATAAAATACCCTCTTGAAGAAAGTAATTTTAATTAAAAAGAAATCCCTAACCAATAATAAAAGGATCACAACCAATTTACAATTCTTTTCCCACTATATCACCTCTTTTATCTGGCAAAAGCTAAAGGTAATTCTTTTATGACTGATTGATATTTTGGTCTTTCCAAGTCAAGTACTTGTCACATAATAGATAAGACTGGATAGGTTTAAGTTTAAAGAGGATAGGTTTAAGTGAGAAAAGTTCACTGGGGTTAAATCAATTTTTTTTAGGTTGAGATGGATTATCTACAAAACACCCAAAACTTGGTAGAGATTTACTCGGTCTTAAATAATTTTG